GGGGGGGGGGTGTTCTAATTAACACATATTTGGTTGATCTGATTATTTTATGTCAATATTCATTGACCGGTCTAACCTTTGTCTGATTAACTGAGGTACACAGTAAATAGTTGTGGGGTAACTGATAAACATTTATTTTGTCACAGCAGTATCGATATTATGTGCATAGGTCAAAACGTATACATGTATTTTCAAAAGACCAAAACTTCCATAACTTTATTTGCTCAACCATAAAATCAAGATAGAAAGATTTGCCATGAAAAGGACGTTCTCCGCTGTATAAAAACGCTACTTGACCTAATTATGCATAACCTCTGCTTTAGGACTCATGTACTTATAATAACAAATGTGTGTGTGTGTGTGTGTGTGTGTGTGTGTGTGTGTGTGTGTGTGTGTGTGAGGCAGCGTGGTGGAATCAGGCTCTCGTCAATTTTTGGGCAAGTAGAGTTATTAGTATCATCTTAAAGCTTGTTCGCTTGTGTTTATTTGGTTGACAAAAATATCCATTTATCTTGAATACAAGTCGAGATATTTGTGAAGGAAGGAGGTGGGGGTCACCTGTTTTCAGAGGTAAAATTAGTGAGAAAATGGCCGTCAAAGATTAGTTATTTCCTGAGCTTAAGAGTCCATGGTAACTGAAAATTTACATTTTTTGTGCCTTTAATAAGCGTTTTTCAGAAAAATTCACACAGAAATTAGTTCTTAAATGGGCATGAAACGTGTTGAGCCAAAAAACAAAAAATTGATAAAAAATCACTTTGATTATTTTGATGAGAGCCTGATTCCACCACGCTGCCTCACATATATATACTTAAAAGTAAAGTCATTTATTTCAGTCTAGTGCATTTAAAGGCAGTAGATATTTAAATCCCCATAAGTGCCATTGATTTCAGATTTTTTGTCTCTCCTGAAAATTTTACGAAATCGGAGTTTGACGGTTAGAATTCTCGGCCGACGAATTATGTGTCACGACTCAGTGGACTCAGGGGCTCAATTTTTGAGCATGTGAAATTATTTGTGTAACTATAGAGCTTGTTCATTTGCCATGATTTTGATGAAAAAAATACCCAGCTATCTGGACTAGAAGTCCAATTATTTGCGATTGTGGGAGGTAGAGTTTGCCTTGTTTCAGAGGTAAAATTAGCACCAAAAAAAAAAAAAGAAAAAAGGTGGCCAGAGTTTAGTGACTTCCAAAGCTCAAGGGTCCTTCTAAACTTAAACTAAACATTTTTTAGAGTCTTACATCAACGTTTTATGGTAAAAATCCACACAGAAACGTGTTTTTAAATAGACATAAAAGGTGTTCAGCCAAAAATTCTTCAATTTCATTTGACGAGTGCCTGATTTCACTGTGATGTCTCATATAAAACGTTTTTTGTGTGTTTTGTTTTGTTTTGTTTTTTCTCAATAGATGGCAGATATGGAGAAGAGAAAGAAAGTTAATTCTTTGTCCGGACATAGGGCGGACAATGGGAAAGAACAAGGCGAAGACAGAAGCAGAGAAAAATCGGATCTGTCAGAAGTGACGTCACGAGATGGGACAGTCACATATGTCCATTGTCAGGACGAGCTGGACACCGCATGTGCCGTCACTGATGGCGGAAACGGCGAAGGCCCCGAGGGCAGCATGACGTCAGTAGAGAGCATCCCTCTAGACGAATATCACCCGGGTGAGTTGGATTCTGTGAGTACAAAGTTTGACTCGTTGAAGACATTCTGCTCTTTGGTCAGTTTCGTTGTTGTTGTGATGTTGTTGTTGTTGTTGTTGCTTTGTTGTTGGATTTTTGTTGAGGTTTTTTTGG